TCTCAGCCTGCATCTCCTTGTCATGCCATCAGGCACCCTACATGCATATCTTGACGCTCTAGCTCCGGACCCCTACCCATGTCTTCCAATCTGAAGATGTCCCTGGGGACCGAGAGTGGCTTGAGCCTGAGGCCCCTACTATCTATTACCACCCACACTACCTTGGTGAGCCTTCTATTCTGCCCCAGGGGACAACGTGGGCTTCTCACATCAGGTACCAAGCTGTTTTTCCTACACTGGTTGTCCTTCTCATGGTACCTACCAAGGCTATTATGACTCGGACTACCTGGTGTATCTGGATGCTCTGCCTCAGCACCAATGGCAGCCTTCATCCACTGCTGCAAGGCCTCCACATCTTGAACCCAAACCATCTTCTCAAGTCGTCACATCAGCTTCTTCAAGACCTCACACTAAGTGTCTGTATCCAGCTCTCAGGATGACCCTCACCCCGGAACTGAAGCACCACAGGCTCCACCACACTCAACACCATAGACCTGAAGACCCTTCAGCCTTGGATTCAAGACACCGACTTCATAACCAACGGCTGCCCCCCGCCAAATTGACAAAGCCAACACTGCTTCAGTGCAACTCGCTATGATGCCCTGCTTAATGGAAGGTTTATTAGATAAACCTTCCACAGTGCCTCCAACGTCTAGAAGGGTTGAGAATTTTTATAAGATTTTTGACACAGGGATGACCTTCCTGGCCAAATATCCCACACCAAACTCCATTGTGGTTGCTGCCTCCCAATCAAAATCTAAGGGACAACAGCTCTTGACCTCAAACAACAGAGAAGGACTGAAGCTCGATTCCGTAGGAAGGAAAGTTTACTCCACTGCCTCCTTGTCGCTACACATTGCCAACTGTCAATTGGGCAATGGGTGCATATAGAAGGCAGCTGGGTAGTCAATTACAACCCTTTTTGGACAAACTACCTGAAAATTGTTGTGCTCAAGCCAACCAAGTCCACCAAGAGGCCCTTGCAATCACCATCAATAGATGTGAGCTGCGTGATATGCTACTGAGTACGCAGCGTGCCAAGTGTCAGCAATTGCCTCTCTCCGCTGTCATGCTTAGCTTTATTCAGCAGGCTTACCCAAGGATGCCAGAGCCTGTATTGAGGTGCTCCCATTTGATGGCAACTGTTTGTTTAACACCAAAACTGATGACATCATGGAGGACCTCCAGAAAAAGACAAATGCAGCCAAATGTCTTGGGGTCTACCCCCAATCTGCCCAACACCAATTTCATTATCCTTACAGGTGTCCTATGCCTTATCAGTCTACTAGACCACTGCTTGAGAGACTTCGTTACACCTCTTCTGCCTCAACAACCTATTTCCCCAAACCATCACACCAGGTATCGCAAGTCAGCTACCACCAAGCGCACTGAATGCAAATCCAAACAGCCTTTCTGACCTCCTATCGAGTTTCCTGCAGATGTATTACATCAACAAATAAGGCGGTACTCACTCCCCCCACACCACATTTTCCCCATCACCAGTTTTTTTAATTTTTTACTAGGAATAGGGTAGGGAATACAAAAGATAAGGGGAGGTGGAAGGGATGGGAAAAGGGTTTTAAGGATAGGAGAACACAGAATATACAACCATCCAATCTATTGATATTAAATATACAAGCATCCAATCTATTCACTTTTCAATAAAAAACCAACATTCTACTTTTTTTTACCTGTTTGATTACCCTCTAACTATCAGCTTACATTTATGTTTTAGTTTAAATCAAAGTTACTCCAACACTATCAGGGAACTGAGACCAATTGTAAAATACATCCCCTCTTTCAATTTCCTTCTGTCTTGGACAAACATTCAGCTGGCTGAAAAAGTATCCATTTCTATCACTTCTCATATTTTCTCAGTACACTTCTCTTGTTTCCGTGACTCTGTTTTCTTCCAGTTTTTGGGAGATAGGGTTGAATCCACGACAGTAATCCGATTTTTAACAATACATTTTCTGACTGTTGTAGCTGAATAGCTCACCGGGTAACTCTTAATCCCATCTATGTTACCTGGCATCGCACTCAATGAAAACAGTTCTGTAGTTAATACAGTTTCCTTTAACTGTTTTTTAACATCTGATGATTTCTCTTTCATCAGATCTTTACCTGCTGAAATCCTGCTGTTATTATCCTTTGCATGGTAACCTGCCATTCTTTATCTGGCAAAATCCCCAACAGTTGATATTTAAATTTTTCGAAGGCCATTTCCATCTTTCCAATGCATATGGTTTTTATAAATAATACTTTTTAGTTTCCACTATTTTATCAACAAACAAACCCATAATCATGTACCTCCCCTGAGTATGTCCTCCCCTCCTTACCCAGATATTATAATATATAGCTCAACTTTTAGCCCAACAATTTGAATTACAACCATGACAGTATTATCAGAGTCCACACAGTCCTGCCAAGAAAAAGTCCAGACTAAACCGCGGACACAGGAAGTCAGTCTCTCCAACAGATATCGTTATAATCCGTCAAAACTCCAGTCCTGGTTTTCCTAGCTCCTTAGTCTATTTGGTTACGTTCGTCTCGCTGATGATTCACTTTACGTTTTCTTGCTTCCAAAGGTTTATTCCTCCTTCTAAGATCCAGCAAAATTCTGTTATCAAAGTCCCATTGGTCAAACTCCAGTTCTGGTTTCCCCAGCTCTTCAATCTAGCCGATTATGTCATCACAGTGATGGTTCACAGTCTGTTTTCTTACTTCCAAAAGCTTATTCTTCCTTCTCCTAAAGCAAGATTTTATTATCAGAGTCCCACACAGTCTATACATTTTCCCCATCACTATTCATCTACTACGAATAGACAACCTACTGGCTGATTCTCTCAGCCATACCCGATCTCAGCTTGATACCGACATTTTCATGCCATCACTACCCTCTGGGGTGTTCCAGAGGTGGACATTTTCGCTACCTTTCAGAATACAAAGTGTACCCTCTTTTGCTCAAGGGGTGGCCTAGGGCCCAACTCCATAAGGATGGAAAGAAAGGTTTTTCTGTCTGTTCCCCCTGCTCCCCCTATTACACAGGGTGATTGTCAGACTGTGTCGGGATAAGACCAACGGCACCCTCATCACCTCAACAGGCCTGGTTTGCACCTCTTCTCCAGGGCTCCAGGTCCTACCTTCACCTTTCGACCTCTCCAAACATCCTCTGAGGGCAACAGCCAAATCCTCCATTCAGACCCGCAGATGCTTGCCCTGATGGCCTGGAAGCTTTCAGATTGACTGAAATCCTCCAAGGCTTGTGGTGCCCTTCCACCAGGTGCAGCTATTCCTATAAATGGCAGAAATTCCTATCCTTCACAGCCTCCAAAGGCCTCTCGCCTCTTCATCCACCCCTCTGTCTCGTGTGTGAGTTCCTTCTTGCCTTAAAGAAGGAAGGCATTTCTTTTTCCTTCATCAAAGTTTATCTCTCAGCCGTTGTGGCCAATCAACCTTGAGAATCCCCAGCATCCCTTGTTCTGACATCCCATGATCAAATGCTTCCTCAAGGGCCTCCACAACCTCTTTCCGGATGTCTGCCCCCCCTGCAATGGTCTCTTGCCTCTACCTGGGTTCTTTGCTATCTTATGCAGTCACCCTTTGAACCCTTGGCAACTACTCACCTGCATTTCCTGACACTGAAGACGATCTTCCTTGTTGCCATCACATCTGTGAGAAGGGCTGGGGAGCTCATTGCACTTTGCCATGATCGTCCATTCCTTCAGTTCTACAAGAACAAAGTGGTGGCATATCCTGACAACTCCTTCCTCCCCAAGGTGCACTCTTGTTTCCATCTTGCCCAGCCGATTATCTTACCTGTCTTTTGTCCGTCTCCTTCTTCCTCATTGGAGAGGTCTCTGCACTCGCTAGATGTTTGGCGCACCCTAGTCTTCCTGCAAGACTGACAGGCTCTTTGTAACATACAAACAGGGAAGTGAAGGCTCTCCTGTCTCTACACAGAGATTGCTAGATGGCAACATGGCACCATCATGTGGGCATATGACTTTTCTCATCATCCTCTCCCTGCGACAGTGTGAGCGCATTCCACATGTGCTCTCGCCTCCTCTACAGCTTTCCTCAGGGATGTCCCCATTGAAGACATCTGTGCTGCTGCTACGTGGGCTCAGCCTTCTACATTAATATCTCATTATCACCTCTGTCTTTCCGTGACAACCCACCATCCAGTAAGTGAGCTTGTTACTCACTCATAGCGTGCATTCATGGAGACCATGAAGAATAAGGATAGGTTACTTACCATAACTATGGTTCTTTGAGTGGATCTCTGTGAATTTACATGTCCCTCCCACCTTCCGTCTTGTCATGCTTCTTTTTAGTGGTGGCAGGGGAACTGAAAAGCAACTGTTAGAGGCGTGAACAAGCAATGCGGGAGGGTGGGGCCTCTAATGATCTGATTTTTCAGCTCTAGAAGGTTCCAAACAATCTGTGTGCTAGAGGACTGTTTATATTTAGAATTTAAGCATATTTAGAATTTATGCAGATTTGTCGCTATGCAGAAATAAAAAGCCCATAGGAATGCATTAAAACCCGTTTAATGCGTTCCTATGGGCGAAAAACTCATCTTAAAGCGAAAATCCTCCATATGGCGGCCATTTTCGCTGCCCGGTAAGCGAGGAAACCGCGCGAAAACACAGCGGGTGGCCATTTTGTTTACCCGGCAGCCATTTTGTAACCGCCGATCAGCTGTTAAAAAAACATCGCTATGCGATAATCGGTAAGCGAAACAGCATACCAATCATCGCAAAGCGAATTTTACCTATTTAAAACATCGCAATGCGATCACTTTTGCAATCGCGAAAACGTAATCACTATGCAGATTTGTCGTTAAACGGGACGGTTAAGCGAGGCACCACTGTATGTGCAAATTGGTTAGTTCTATTATATAGTCTGCTCCTGTTCTGGATACAAAGTTATATTAAGTTGTTCAAAATGTTTAAAAAGGCATTTCCCTATGTAATGTAATTCTGTATTTTGTGAAGGATTCCCCATTATTTGAGCTTCTAAAACAGTCGAAGGAGCGAGAGGGGCAAGTTGATGAGCCTGAACCGACCAATTATTTTGCTCAGCCTCTTCAGCATAACCACACTGCTGCAGACCTGTAAGTAATGTAAAGCTGTGTAAAAATTCTGAAAACATGTAGAGATATTAAGTCAGATTGTTGGACCATTTGACCCAGGAAGATCTGTTGAAGCAGTTTTCTCAGAGAGCATTCTTTCTTAGCTCTGCTACCTGAGTTGCTTTAGCTAGGAGGCCAGGGATTGAAGCTGGGCAGGCAGCATAGGGGTGCTCTGCCGCTGATAGTTGGTCTTTTGAACTTAATTCTTCCAAGGTTGCAGAAGAAGGCAAAAGTTATATCTGACAGCCACTACCTTATTATGCTACCTAAGGGAGGGCACAGAAATATTTATTAAAATATTTCCAACTTATCGTACATTTGGGCAGGGTACAGTCAATAAAATGCAGTATAAAGCAACTATTTCTTGTTGTTATAAGCTGTCAAGTCGAAACCATAACCTTAACAGGTATTTCAAGGTAAGTGTGAGATTTAAGGAATACTTTTACCAGTGCCACACCCTCAAATTCAATTTCCATGGCTGAGTGAGGATTTGAACCTAGTCCACCACTATACCATGCTAGATATCCTAAAGCAACTATAGTCTATAGTATACAGTACAGTGGTGCCTCACAATACGAAAATAAATCATTCCGTGAGTCCTGTCGTCTTGCGAAATTTTGATCTTGCAAGGTGTGTTTTCCCATAGGGCCAAATAACTCTGAAAAAGTCACTTACCAGGTAGGGAGCTGGGGAAGCACCATCAGAGGACTGGCGGTCACCGGCTTCGGAAGCCTGTGAAGACTTCCCCAGATAACTTGGTGGGGAAAGTGGCATAAGGGGAACTCTAGGCAAGAGTGACCATGTCCTCCTAGAATTCTTGATTTCAAAGGAAACGAAAGCAGAGTGTAGCTGCCCACTTTTGCTGGATTTTTAAAAAGCAGCAAAAAAAGCCAGGGTGGCTTCACAAAAAGCTCAGGGAGGACCTAAAATCCAAAAAAGATATGTACAGGAAGTGGAAATAAGGCCTGGAAAAATGATAACAGGACAAAGAAAAGGCAGAGGTGCTCAATTCCTATTTTAGTTCAGTCTTTTCCCATAAGATAGATAATAAACTTCCAAACAGATTTGAAGTGCAAGTGGAGGGGACAGAATTGCAGCTGGAGATTGATAAATAGTCAAGATATACCATACCACCTTGAAGGAGTTCAGATCTCCAGGGCTGGATGAATTGCATCCAAGGGTTCTGAAGGAACTGGCTGAAAAACTCTCAGAATATCCATTATTTTCTTGAAACCGTGGAAAACACGTGAGGTGCCAGACGGCTGATGTTGTCCCTATCTTCAAAAAGGGCAAAAAAGAGCAACCTGGGAACTACAGGCCAGTCAGCCTGACATCAATCTCAGGGAAAATTCTGGAACAGATCGTAAAGTGGTCACTGTACAAGCACCTAGAAAACAATGCAGTAGTAACTAGAAGTCAAGAACAAATCCTACCAAACTAATTTGATCTCATTTTTTGATCAGGTCACCTCCAATATAGACAGAGGGAATGCTCTAGACGTAGTATATCTTGACTTAGCAAAGCTTTTGACAAAGTGCTCCATGATGAGCAAGCTAACTAAGTGTGGGCTGGATAGATCAAGTGTCAGGTGGATACACAATTAGATACAGAATCATACTCAGAGGGTGATGATTAATAGGTCCTTCTCTAACTGGGATGAGGTAACAAGTGGAGTACCCAAAGGCTCAGTCCTGGGCCTGGTGCTGTTCAGTATTTTTATTAATGACTTGGATGAGGGAGTGCAGGGAATACTTGTCAGATTTGCAGATGATACAAAATTGGGCAGAATAGCTAATACCCTAGAAGACAGAAACAAAATTCAAAATGACCTTGATAGGGTGGAGTGCTGGGCTGAAAACAACAGAATGAAATTCAGCAGGGATAAGTGCAAAGTACTGCACCTTGGAAAAAGAAACCAATTGCACATATACAAGATGGGGGATACTTGGCTCAGCAAAATACAAGCGAGAAGGATCTTGGAATTGTTGTAGATCACAAGCTAAATATGAGCCAACAGTGTGATGTGGCTAGAAAAAAGGGAAATGCTATTTTAGGCTGAATTAACAGAAGTATAGTTTCCAACTGGTTAGGCCTCACCTTGAGTATTGTGTCCAGTTCTGGACACGGGGTTGCCAGATACATGGGTCCCAAAAGGAGGACATAGAAAGACAAAAAAGAGGACAGTGGAGGACGTATTGAATGTTTCATTTGAATCGTTCCAGATTAAACCTGCAATCAATACAATTTTATTACAATAGCTGCCAATAAATATCTCTTAGTGAACCAACCAAGAAACAGTCATGTTAAAAAATAAAAATAAATCCAATTGAGGCTTTTTTTCAAAATACCAAAAAAACATTATTTGAACAACCAATCTTATCATCTTTATTAATTACACGACATATCCCGGCGACTGCTGTTGTTGCTCCTTCACTTGCGCCGAGGTGAGCTCTGCGAGGTTCCCCTTTCCCGCCTCCTATTGCTGCTGTGGTGGCAGCGGCTGCCACCTCTTCTCCCTTTCCCTCTTTCTCTGGCAGGCACCTGGCACAGAGCCCTGCTCTTGCTCTGGCTCCCCTTCCCTGCAACTTTACTTCTTCTCCACCAGCCTCCCTCAATCTTTTCTAGCTGCCACCGCCATCTCTCCTTTCTCGACTTCTGCTGCTCGCTCGAATACCTTTGGGCAAACCCACAAACTTTTTTAAAATAAAAAAGATCCTGCCCTTTTCCGGCCGCCGCTCTTTCTCAACTCTCTCCTTTTGTTTTGCCCGTTTCCTCTCACTCGTGGTGTGTGTGTGTATGTATATGTATATATGTATGTATGTATGTATGTATGTATGTATGTATGTATGTATGTATATATCTTGCTCTCCTTTCCTTGCTAATCTTTACACGCAGCTTGCTCAAAATGAAGCAGGAAGACAGCCCAAAGTGGTGTCTTAGATTGTGACTCCATCAGAGACTGCTTTTCACCTTCAACCTCTCCCCCTGCCATACAAAATTATAAAATAAAATATTACAAAAGCCGGACATTTTAAAGGTTTTTAGCTTTGATTGCTGGATGGAGGACATTAGGCTAAAAAGGAGGGCATGTCCTTCTTTTGCCGGACGTCTGGCAACCCTATGGACACCACACGTCAAGAAGGATGCTAACAAATTGGAATCAGTTCAGAGGAGGGCGACAATGATGGTCAAAGGTCTGGAAACCAAGCCTTATGAGGAAAGGCTGAAAGAATTGCATGTTTAGCCTTGAGAAAAGAAGACTGTGGGTGATATGATAGTAGTTTTCAAATATTTGAAAGGCTGTCATACAGAGGAGGGGCAAGATCTGTTCTCAATCATCCCAGAGTGCACGACACACAATAGACTCAAGTTAGCCAGATTTTGGTTGAATATCAGGAAAAATGTCCTAACTGTTAGAGCAGTACGATAGTGGAACCAGTTAGCTCGGGAGGTGATGAGTGTTCAAACCCTGGAGGCATTAAAGAAAAACTTAGATCATCACCTGGCAGATGTGCATTGATTTGTATTCCTGCATTGAGCAGGGGGTTGGACTTGATGGCCTTGTAGGCCCCTTCCAACATCACTTTTCTGTGATGCTATGAAAACCCTCCAAGGCTATCTTGACACCAACTTCACAAATCTGTCAATGTCTACAGGTCTGAGGACCTTGTCTGCATCGGATTCCTCTCCAATAATGAGCCTCTTCCAGCCCATCAGCCGTCGCCTCATCCCTCACATCTAGTCACCTAATTGGGATCAGTGCATCGGCTGACTGGCCACTTACTTCTCCACTGACCAGTCTTCCACAGTGCTCCAGATCCCCTAGTGGGTCCTCCAAGGCTGTTTTACCTGCCCATGATGCTGCTGCACAACTTGATACCATGCCTTATCCTGCCCCTGTGAGCCTGCCACCTCAGCCTCCAGTGCACAAACATAGGCACCAACCCTATCAGAACGTCCACTTGCCTTCTTGCACGGACACCTCTTATCATCAGCACCATCATCTTGTTAGCTCTCCCTATTTGCTTGCTCTGGTCATTCATGCCCTGGGGTCTGTCTCAGTTCTATTTCTCTGCTGTACTCTGTTAGAAGTCAGCAAACAGAAAATATGCCTCCTTATTTTGTTCTAAGCAGTATATCAAACACAGTATATCTGTCAGTAACTTTTTCAGCATGAGTTAACTATTGTATGGACTGTGCTAATTGGGAGTGGGGTTGCAATGCAACTGATGAGGATTTGCTGATTTTTTAAAATGCGGCAGCCAGGTTGTTCACTGATACATCAAAATTTGACTGCATATTACCTGTGTTGGCCTGTCTGCACTGACGGCCTGTACACTTCCAGGCTAAATTCAAGGTGCTGATGTTAACCACTGCAGGAGAAACCTGGAAATCATTTAGCAGAAACCAGCCCTTCTCAGTAGTGCCTGCCTTGCTATGGAACTCCCTTCTAGTGGAGGTACATGTGGACACCACCCTCCTTAGCTTTAGGAAACAAATCAAAACCTGGTTCTTACCCAGTTTTCTTTGAGAGCCTCACTCCTTTTTCATTTAATTACATTTGGTATTTTTGTGATGACCTACAGTATGTTGATTGCTTACTGTTTTGTGTGTAATTCAGTTACTTGTATTTCCACCACTTTGAGATTTAGGTTAATGTTTGTTAGATAATGGGGTTTTGTTGGGCAGGGTTTTTTCCTCATGATTATTGTTTTTACTGTGTTTCTGTACTTGTGTTTAATTTTGTGTAGCTGCCACTAGCTGAGTGGGATATAACTTTAATAAATAAAGAAAGAAATAGAAATATATTTTGGGGAGCAATTTGAAATAATTTCAAAATGATCATTGGTAGTAATTCTTGTGTATTTTATATCTGTTGTTTTTCTAGGTATCTCTCCCCAACGAAATCTCCAAAGAAAAAAGTTTCTTCCACTCCAGTCTATTCCTCTCCAGATTCTCAGCCTGCACTGGCAATTCAGTCTCAGAAAATATATAAATCTACCTCTTTGTCATTGTTTTACAAAAAAGGTTAGTAAATCATTTTTTTAAAAAAAAAATTTTCCCAAACAGTTTTGGTTCAGAAAAATATTGCTATCATTAATAGCAGAGGCAGATCAGCTATTTTAAGGCTGACCTCCGCATGCTGCCAACTACTGTGGTGAGAGGTGACTACTGTCGTTTTCTTGAGGAAGATATTTACAGAATAACAGAAACTTGATTAAAATCTCAGCCCTTTATGGTACATTTCTGTAATATGTTACCAGTAAGACACTGACTATTAGCATATGTGAAGCAATGTTCTGAAAGAAGTCTAATCTCTAAATATTTGTTTCTGTTCTCTAGTGTATTGGCTGGCTTATACACGACTGAACAACTTATGCTTGCGTCTCCTTCCTGACCATCCTGAACTCAAACATTTGATATGGACACTCTTTCATCACACACTCCAAAATGAGTATGAACTTATGAAAGACAGGCACTTAGATCAGGTAATATCTCTCGTAGTCTCCAGTGCATCATGCATCTTTTTTCTCCCTACCCTGAGCTGAGGGATAGATCACCTCTTCTTAAGCCCCTTGTACTGTAGGATAAAGCTGTTCCTCAAATGTATTTGAAACCTGTGAAGGACTCGTCAGGAAGGCCCAGTTCTAGAGACCCATGGTTGGTTTGCTGGATAGTTTCCTGGTGGTTTTCCAGGGGATTCCTAAGGATTTTATAGATATTTATTGCATAGTTTATGGTGACCATGAAGAACTAATTTCGGGGGAAACAGAAACACTTGAACATCTCTTCCATCTTTCTCTCAAATTGCTATCTTTTGAACTATTAAATTATATTCAAGTGAAATGAATTTATCACAGTTTGAACAACTATTATATTTTTGGTATAATAGTTATTAAAATTGTGGTGATTCCAGACCAAATTATCCTGTTTAGGCAGTTGCCAGAATCCTTTTGTAAGCTTTGCATAACATGCTGCAATTAACCATGACAATTTATTTATTTATTTATTTATTTATTTATTTATTTATTTATTTATTTATTTATTTATTTATTTTCTGCCCCGCCTATCTAGTCATTTCGACCACTCTAGGCAGCTTACAACATAAGGATAACAAGTTCTAAAAAAATTTATAACAATTAATTAATTAAATGATTCTATAAGATGGGAAA